CCTCACGTTTCTTTATGATTTCTTTCTTAGTTTCAAGAGTTATGAGCTTTCTCACTCGCTTTGGACGATTCATTGTTACAATTGTACACTTGCATAACAAAATATTTATACAAATACAGTCATGCGCCGGTTAACGTCCTACATACGTTCTTGGAAACGTGACGTTAACCGAAATGAACGTTGTCCGATCATCACATAAACTTTTTATTTATACTTACGTGTATGTGGAATACTATATACGACATTATACGTACATATACACTTTTACTCTTAAATCACTACTGTAATGTGATAAAAGTGATTAATTTTTATCTCTTGTGCAAAATACATGACGTTTATATTAAAATTATTCACTGTTTTACAAGGATTCCAGCAACGCCAGCAGATGAGGGAGAGAGAGAGGGTTTGACAGTTGGCACAGGCCCAGGTCTAATGTGTGTATATTTATCAGTTCTTAGGTGACTAAGCTTCTCTCTTATAAAAAGCCAGTGAAATGACCTGGGTGAATATAATTAACATAGCTGGGATTCTTGTAACATACCGATTAATTTGAAAATAAACATGCTATAATTTGCACTAGACAAAACAATTTCAGTACCGTAATCAAATTAGTACATGTGCAGTCCAGCTTTGCACTAAGAAATCTATGTAAATCTACCCAAAAATACAGTTGAAAAACTTTTTTATAAAATGTACTACAGTACTGTACACTAATGTACAACAATTTTTATCTCTTGAGCAAAATATATGACGTTTATATTCAAATTATTGGCTGTCTTGCAAGGATTCCAGCAATGCAAATTATAATCTCCTAACTTTAGTCTGAGATTTTATATAAGATAAAAACTGTAAGCCTAAAAGCCTGGCTGGGGGGGGGGTGGACTGACGGCTCCGCCACCCAGCGAGGGGTTGGGGGGGTTGAGGTGATAAGTTTGAGCCGAAGGTCTCTGTGTGTTTATTTAACAGTCCTACTAAGCTCCTCTAATTTTAAAATGCCAGTGATATGACCAAGGAGAATATAATTAACGTAGCTGGGATTCTTGTAAGATACTGATTTATTTGAATATAAACATATTGTAATTCGCACTAGACATAACAATTTTAGTACCGTAATCAAATTAGTACATGTGCAGTCCAGCTTTGCACTAAGGTCATTTATTTATTTTACGTTTCTTTTAGTATGGTGTGTGAAAGTAAATGGGTGAAAATAAATGAAGAAATTTATGTAAATCTACCCAAAAATACAGTTGAAAAACTTTTTATAAAATGTACTACAGTATTGTTCACTAATGTACTACATTTTTTATATCTTTAGCAAAATATATGACGTTCATATTCAAATTAATCTCTGTCTTCCAAGGATTTCAGCAATGCAAATTATATTATTGTAACTTTAGTCTGAGATATTATATAAAATAAACATAAAGAAATCACCAATCTTTTATCTTGGAACACGAGGGTGGTGGGAAGACGGGGGGGGGAGGGAGCGGGAGGTGAGGTTGTAGTGGATTTCTCCCCGACAAACGCTGTTTGTCGCTGAGTAGCCGACCCCGCGAATTCCACAGTGTGTGCCTTGTGGTCTAGGTCAACCAGCGCCGCTCGGGTCAACTATCTACCCACGCCTACCTCCGCTATAAAAGACCTGACCTCGTGGTGACCTGTCTCTTTTTACCTACACCAACCAGCAACCAACACCTCCTCCTCCGCTTCTGCCTAGCGGCCCTCGCTCCCGCCGGCGAGCATGGCGACCCACAAGCTGTCCTTCTCCGAGCACCCTCACCAACCAGCTCTCTCTACATCATGCTTGTAACCACGCTGCCACTTCCCAGCACCAAGCTGCATTGTACATCCAATACAACATGTATACAGAGAGCACATTGTGAGTTTCCTTTCTCCATCCCATCCCGAGTGTGAACCCAAACAAACGTACCCCACAAGGTGACAGAATGTCTGGCGTTTGTCTGTTTATTTATTTGAGATAAGATTTGACAGTTGGTGCTGAAGGCCTGCCTGCGTGTTTATTTATCATTACTTAAGAGTGACTAAGCTTTTCTCATAATTTTCCACCCAAATGACCTGGGTGAATATAACTTACATTGGAGGGATTCTTGCAAGATAGTAATTTATTTGAATGTTTTTTTTTTTTTCAATTTAAATTTTAATTGTTTATTCCTTGATAGAGGAAGCGGGATCCTAGTGCTGTCACTTGGTACCCCTGTACCATAACACCAGAAGCAACTGGCCAGTGTCACAAGTATATACAGTACAGTACAGTCATCCCTTGGTTATTGCACCTAATTGGGACCCCGCCGATAACGAAAGTACAGAACCTATGGGATTTATTCTAATTGGTTCCAGGCACCCAAGACCCAACCCCAAGCTTCCCATTTTACGACCATTTAGACCCACTAAATATATATATAATGTTATGGTAAATATCATAAATACACATAGGCATGGCTAGGCTTATTACAAAGTGATGAAAAGGGTACGCTTAATACTGTAGTCCACAAAACATGTAGCTATGCTTTTTTTATTTGGTCCCCGTCATACAAGTCCGTTTTCTCTCACATCAGAACTCCTGAGTCCTCTGTTTTCTCTCTTAAACTTAGAGTGCACCAGAAACTTTACTATTTTTAGTATGCCACAGAATTTGAAATTGCAACCCCAATTGCAACTTGTAATTGTTGAGGCAACCAGATATGTCTGATTACAGCAAATGTGTCATTGTCAATTTGTAGGTGAAAGATTTTATCCTCAATAGATGTAGGTTAACATTTCACCTGTAGGCAAATGCTTAGAAAAGCCTAAGTAAGGAAGCATATTCCTTTAACACATAATATCTGACCAGTATGGGGAGGATCATCGTGTCTCCATCAGGGGGTCGTGGAGTGGTGGTCCAGCAGGCGTCACTTTTTTTTTTTTTTGAGGGGGGGGGGTTGGGGGCCACGGACGTATATGCGATCGGACGTTAACCGGCGCATGACTGTAACTCTATTTCCACATCAAAAGACGAAATTTCAACAATAACAGTGGTGCACTGGCTACACAATGAGACAAAGATGGCGCCTGACGCTCTTGTTGTGGATCACGGTACAACAATATTCATGCGCCAGGCGAAATAGTCCCGTATTCATCCGCGTTCTTTGTAGGAATTGCGTTCGTTATAGCATTCTCAATTTTATAGGTAAAAACGTTCGTTATAGAAATATTCGTAGTAGGATCCGTTCATTATAGCATACCCCACTGTACCCTGTACTTGTAAATTAAAAGTACCGTAACATTGTATTATATACAAAGTTGTCATATTTCTGGAAAAGAGGAAGCAAGAAAATAAGAATATACCGGTAAACACAATTTCAACGTATGATAATATTAAAGGCTGCTCAAGAAGGGCCGATGCAAAAACAAAGCCTCCGCAACCAGGGCTCTGCCGTATCAGCTAGACGGTACACGCGTTTTTCGAATCGTTTTCAGTTAAAAAAACTGTTACATCACAAGTATATCTAACCTTGACTGTGCCTGAATGAATATATTCTCAGAATTAAATAGTAGTTTTGCTGAAAAATGATGTATTTCAATGTAAAATAGGATAAACTACGTGACGAAAACAAAAGACTTTACCTAACCTTCCGATGTTCAAGAGATGTTACTCATTATTTTAATAGTTTTCCGTTAAAATATTGTTATATTAGTGATATTCTATTCATACTGTGATCGATATATAACATTCACGGAAATGTAATATTTTTGCTGAAATGACGTACGTATTACAGTGGAAAGTGGGATAAAACCATGATGAAAACAATCAACTTTCGCTTTCTTTCGTTGTTCAAAAGATGTTACCGTAAACGCTTTTCGAACGGTTTTCAGTTAAAAAAAAATTTTGTATCACAATAATATTCCCTCCTAATTGACTTGAATAAATACTTGAATGGAAATATACAATATTTTTGTTGAAACTACCCGCGTTTCAGTGTAAAGTGTAGTAATAATAAATGGTAAACAATTTGCCTTCGGCACTCCCGTGTTTCAGGCACGGCGAGCCTCAGTTTATAGGACGTAGAGTGTTTTTACTGAAGGTTTTGTTGTTCCATTACCCTCAAAAACTTGGGTCGACCTAGAAACGAGGCATATCATAAATTAACGATTTCTTGGTCAAAAAATCAGGGCCGACCTATAAACGAGGTAGAATTATAGACGAGTATACAGTCAACCCTCGCTTTACGCGGTCCCACATTACACGTTTCCACGTTTACGCGGTACCCTGCCAAAACCGGAATGCTCACATTCCGCGGTGCGTGTATCCCTTTATGCGGAGAGCGGCTGGCGAGCCGCGCCATTTTTGGATCCAAACCTCCCGCCATCCGCCATGTTGTGTAAGCGGCGCGAGCAGGGTGCGCACAAGGTCGCCCAGTCATCAAAACATTACCAAGTTCTTCACCCGCCACCCACCACAGCCGGCCCAAGTCAGTGATAGTGATAATGATAGTGAGGATATGGACTTATAAGGACTTTGAGGGGTTTGACAAAGAGGCCCTGCAAGCCTCTGTGGTGGATAGTGATACAATTGATACAAGTGATACAGGTGAGGGCCAATAATCTGCCCTCTGCCTCGGAACCAACCCCCCATCCCCGTGTGCCCAGCCATCTTTTCTACTAATGTCAGTGTTAAAAAACCTAATACTATTGATATTTCTCTTAATTATTAATTGTGTGTGCATACCACCATAAAATTAAGAAGTTATTTTTACTACAACGTAGGTATTGTGTCTGAAAAAGTGGAGTTTGGGGGTCGGCCCAGTCTCTATTTCAATTAATCCCATATGTTATGTTGTTCACTTTACGCGTTTCTCACTTTACGAGGGCCGCCGTGGGTTGAATTAACCGCTTAAAGTGAGGGTTCACTGTATACGGTATTAGGTAATCATCGTAATGTAGGTCATGCACAATAATCGGGAGTTTTATCAATCTCATAGGTTTAAAAAAATCTTCAAAAATCAGGTAAACAACTTTATTGAGATCTGAAGGTACACTGAAGTATTTGAAGGTCTCCTCTAAGTATTTAAATAGTAATGAAGTAAATTAATATGCTGTGACTAATAAAAGTTTGAAACTGAAATTTTTTCTGTCTATCCTTTCTTAAAAAAAATGTAAAATAATTATGAGTTTGATTGAAGTTCTGCAGCCAGCCAAGAACAGTAGAATGACGAGAAAATACGTAGTGTTCACAGCGACCACCTGACCATACCAGAAGTCTGTGCCACAGGAGTTTAAAGATTAGCTATTTTTTTAAGCAAACAAGTTATTCAAAGCACCGTCAAAATTATTTTCCTGCACCAAAACATCCAATACCCATATATATTACCTTCTATAAACTCAATAGTCTTAAAAAATTCACTCAACAAACAAATATTTATTTTTCTAGGCACTGTAATTTGCTGTCTCCAAAAAATTTCAAAACGTAAACAATGGGCAAAAAATGCACCACTAACACCAAGTCATATCAGCTTTCCACTACACCGTTTCCAGTCTTTTGGGACCCAACAGACCTCAGTTACACACTCCATAGCAACAGGTATGATGATAACTATAAAATGGCCCATTGTATTATGCATCCTTCCCATCACCACATCAGAATGTGAGAGGTGCGTATCTGCGCCAAAAAACTAAACACTTACACCCGCAGCACCATGGTGGAGAACAGACTCACAGGCCTGGCACTGCTTCATGTCCACTATAACAGAGAGGTGGATGTGGTTGCAGTTGTGAAGAGATTTGCTCAGTTGCATCCCAGAAGAATGGCACTGGGAGATATATGCAACAGTTACAATAGGTACAATTCCTGGCAATCGTGTGCAATTTACTTTTATCTTATAGGCAAAATGAAAAACATATATGTAAACAGTGTAAATGGTGATATCTTTATTCTCATTCTTAGTAAACAATGTTGTTTGTAAATAATAAGGTGGGTCATTATTATCATACTTAGTAAAAATATGTTACATGTAAATAGTGATGCATGACTTTATTCTATACTCTCAACATACTGTGCTAGTAACAAACCATCAACCGAAATACAGTATAGTCTGGGTTTACGCGGATATTTTATACACGATTGGCCATTTACGCGGCACCTGTCCAGACGCGATAATGATTAGTTACGTTGTACATTCCTTAATTTACGCGGCAAGCGGCGAGCAAAGTCTTGGGCGCTGACGTCACCGCTGACTCTCGTGCCAATGACGTCGCGGACTGTGATTGGGCCACGTTTCCTTACCACCCACGCACCCCCTCTGCCGTATGCTGTGATTGGTCTATTTAACCTTGCGTGCCCCTGCCACTAGGGGCGATGACCTTGGCCGCACCAGTCTCATTGTCCTACGTATACTCACTTGTGCCCAGGAACCCTTTTTGTTTCTAAACAATGGCTACCGCTGGACCCCCACCACCCCTGAGAAACCTTGAACTACCTGGCCCAAGCCGCCCCAAGCCCAAGAAGGGAGGCAGAGGCAAGCGGTGGGTAGAGAGGCTCAGTCTGTTGTTGTGGCATTGAAGAATGCAAGAGAGGCTACACAAAGTGCTAGAGCTGCAGGCTTCTCCGAGACCACCAGCGAGGACATCCTGGAGGTAATCAGGCAACCTGAGGTGACTGCAGACGAGATGTTGGAAGATGTATGACATCAGTGAGCAGCCAGGTGTTACGGAAGAACAAGAACAGAAACTAACACATGCTGATGTGAAGGAAATCATTAAGGCAGCTTAGAGATTGAAGCTCCTCCTTGCCAAAGACCCAGTCAAGCATCGCTACGCAGTGTCTAATAACCATCATTTGCAAGCCCTGGAGCCCTATGTTAAGCTGTATCAAGACCACATCAATGCTAACCGTCAACAAAACATTACCTAGTTCTTCACCCGCCACCCACCACAGCCAGCCCAAGTCAGTGACAGTGATTGTGAGGATATGGACTTTGAGGGGTTTGACAAGGAGGCCCTGCTAACTTCTGTGGTGGATAGAGATACAGGTGATACAGGTGAGGGCCAATAATCTGCCCTCTGCCTCAGAACCAACCCCCCATCCCCCTGTGCCTAGCCATCTCTTCTACTAACGTAAGTGTTAAAAAAAACTAATATTATTGATATTTCTCTTAAATATTAATTGTGTGTGCATACCATCATAAAATTAAGATGCTATTTTACTACAACGTACGTATTGTGTCGGAAAAAGGGTGGTCTGGCGGTCGGCCCAGTTTCTATTTCAATTACAGTAGTACCCCGATTTACGCAGTCAATTGAACCCACAGGGTACCGCGGAAAGTGAACAACAGAACATATGGGATTAATTCCAATAGAGACTGGCCCGACCCCCAAACTCCACTTTTTGAGACACAATACCTACGTTGTAGTAAAAATTACATCTTAATTTTATGATGGTATGCACACACAATTAATAATTAAGAGAAATATCAATAATATTAGTTTTTTTAACACTTACATTAGTAGAAAAGATAGAGGGCACACAGGGATGGGGGGTTGGTTCCGAGGCAGAGGGCAGATTATTGGCCCTCACCTGTATCACTTGTATCAATTGTATCACTATCCACCACAGAGGCTTGCAGGGCCTCTTTGTCAAACCCCTCAAAGTCCATATAAGTCCATATCCTCACTATCACTATCACTGACTTAGGCCGGCTGTGGTGGGTGGCGGGTGAAGAACTCGGTAATGTTTTGATGACTGGGCAACCTTGTGCGCATCCTGCCCGCGCCGCTTCCCGCGTACATGAGTAGATGCACCGCGGAAAGTGAAAGTTCGGTTCTGGCGAGGCACCGAGTAAATGAGAAATCGCGGAAAGTGAAACCGCGTAAAGCGGGGTAATACTGTAATCCCATATGTTCTGTTATTTTACTAACGCGTTTCGCTTTGTACGCGGACCTCCATGGGTTTAATTAGGCGCATAAACTCAGACTATACTGTAATGTAAATATATGCAAACGCATTTATTTATTTTGTAAAAGTAACACGAAGTAGTACGGTACTATGTTAGTATGTGATTGTTATGTTTTTATTCTCCCATATGAGAAAATAATGAGCAAAAGAAAGAAGATTATTTGATAAATTAAATTAACTGTGACATCAATAATGGACTATACAGGGTATTTGTAACTAACCAGCAATGGCAACAAGAAGCAAATTTTATTATACAAGTAAAAAATATAAATATTTTGAACCAGGTTTTCTTCAGAATAAACATTATTAGTGTGTGATACAGTTAGGGGTGTTTTACTTTCCATACAGGCATGATATAAATAAATAAATAAATACAAAATTATTACATTTAATGAGGCATCCCATTCATCAAATAAAATTAATTATTTTTTATATCACACATTAACATTGAAATCTGTATTTGTAACAAAAAAAAGAAAGTAGATGATAAGATAATAGAGAAATAATGAACACTAAAAAAACCATACACTCAAAATTCCAATCCGGAAGTCGGTCACTTTGCGGTCCTAGATCCGCCTCTGGTCTGTGCATATGAGCATGTAGTTATATGTAGGAATATACTGTATGTAATCAAGAGTGTGTCTTTGTGTAAGAATATATGCATGTGTGTCTGTGCTCTGGTACAGTATATATTTATACTCTTTTGTAGTAAAAAATATTTAATGAATCTAACATTCCTAAAATGGTTTCCGTTAATAGTAGCCCCCTGGCAGAGGTTGTCACATTAAAAAATCTCCAACACTATGAACTCACCTGAGATAACTGAATATAGGAAGCTCATCTTGAATAACTGAATATTCATCAGAGGAGGAGGGTGTGTTGTGCGGGCATACACACAGCCTGAGCAACTTGGCTTGGGGTAGTGGGCAGGATGGTAACAGGAAGGTCCCATACCATGGTCTCAATGTCGAGGGTGCTCGGTGCCCGCCACTCTACTTGTTCCTTCTCACTGGGTGGGGATGGTCCCTTAATATCAGTTGTACTTGTCACAAACTCAAAATGTAAATGCCACTGCAAACTCACTGTTGAAAATATATTTTTTTCTAAGTATAAAATCTATATAAAATTTTAACAATAAATAAGAACATTAAAATATTATTGGTCTATACTGTACAGTACTGTACCTCATAATACAACATCATGGCCATGACAGAAGAGTCTCCAGGCTGACCTCTCACTACATATTAGTGAGCCTCAACACTTGCAGACTTCTTCACATCCAAAGTTTTGACTTCACTGTGATCTAAAATGTATACCATTTTAACATTCACAATGGAGGTTTTGACGATTCACAGTTGAGAACTCAAGCAAGGTGACGTGATTCCTGGGCAAACCTATAATAAACTGTTGTGCATAAAGACAAAAAACTTTTAAATAACTTCAGTTGTTGTAATAATTTCATTACCGCACTTCAACAACTAAGATCTTTAAGTGTGTTACAAGATTATAACACACTATTCCATTAACAGTCATGAAAAATAAAACTCTCTTGTAACTTCAAATATATTTTACCTTTATGGTTTAGTAAGACCTAAGGGTCTAGTCTTATCAGAGTGTGTTAAATTGACATCTTATTCACTCTTGCTGTTAATAAATACTGAATTAGTAAATGCGAGTATCACTGCTCATTTTCCTCGAATAATTGATTCTCAGAAAACACCCAAGGTAACTTACGTGCCTAAGCTCACTACCACGCTACCTAACTGTTTGATAATATCAGTATATTCTAATAAAAGCCTGGGTGATGGCAGTCTACTTGTGTAAGTATAGCAAGTACAGCTCCTCCCCGACTTACGACCTACTCGACCTACGACCACCCGCACTTATGACCTGCTCTGTCCGTAACGACCATCCGCACATACGACCGCGCAGTCGGGACCAAAAATTTTTTCAAATGACGCGCGCTTTTCTA